CAGTTACGTACGTTTTTCTTTTTATAGCTTCACACAAACAAGGACAATCACATTCACACAAAATTGTTTTTTTTATGTTTCTGAATAATGCTAAAATAAAATTACTATTACAGTTATAGAAAATAATATTTTTAATGTATGAGTTGATTTGTTTAAATATTGTCTTAAACAATTAATATCTATCTATTTAAATTTACATTTATTCCTGATCAAATAATAATTAAATATAAATTTTTATATAAATCCAAACTCTATCTGTACAACATACAGAAACTAAATTATGCAAAATAGGAAAAATTGTATCTTTAAAATTTACTTAAATTATACCAGTATTGTAACACTATAATAAATACTACACAGAATTAATGGTTATAAAAATATTAATACAATATAAAACATTATTTAAAAATACAAGAAGAAAATATCATAATAAAATTTATATATTATTTTATTTTGAAGTCTGCAATTAAAGCTAAATGATCCGAAGGAAATAATAAACTTGGAATTCCACCATATTGAATAACATCATCATGTGATGGCATGGATAACACCTATAAATAAAAATTTATACAGTCTCGATAAAATATTTTTGCATAATATCTTTTACCTGAATAAGTTCGAGATATTGATTTGTAAAGTATATATAATCTAAAAGACCATGAAAAGTTTCAGTATAATTACTGTACAGGACATCAGTATCATATGTGTCATTTAAAGTCAAGATTATTTTTAAATCATTTAATATCTTACCGATCCTGAAAATGAAACTTGGATTACACAAAGGATTAATAATTATAATTATAGATAATTAATATAATAAAATTAGTGACTACCAAAATTAATCAAAACTTCTAAATGGTCAGTGCCAGTTAAAATATTTTATCAATAAATTTTAATTATGTCTATACATAGATACTACACTTATAAAATACCTACATATATAAATCATTGATTCTTTCAATGCAATGTTTCACAATAACCAAGACTTAATACCAGTTCAACTTTTTCACTATCTTAAGTCTTGCTTGGAAGGGCGGACTAGTAATATTGTTAAATCCATACCAACCACAAACGAAAATTTTCAACAGCCTTATGATGCGTTAATATCACAGTATAAAAACAAAAGTGCAATAATTCAATCATATATAAGAGCATTATTTGATACTCCAAGGGTTTCAATAGCATCAGCTACTGAGTTACAAACACTTCATCATTATGTTGCATCAAATATTAATGCATTACAGGCATTAAGTCAACTAATTGAAAGCTGAGGCGCTTGGCTGGTGACTTAAATTTGTAACCGTGCGGTTAGTGCAATAGTTGGAGAATGGCATTTTCAGTATAAAAAAAAAATTTACCCAAATATGAAGAAATTAAAACATTCCTGTTTATCAGATTGTTCTGTCTATGAGGCCGGAGAAGTTAATGTTGGCGTAACGAGTATAAAAACCTTTTGTCAAATCCAGTGTTAAATTTCAATAAAAAAAGTTAATCTTCACTAAACCTACAGACAAATCAACTACAGTACATAAATGTCCTTTCTGCAATGAATTCCATAAATTATATTCTTGTAAGGGATTCAATGATTTAACAGTAGTAGACTGTCGAGAATTTGCCTTAAAAAATCGTTCATGTTTCAATTGTCTATATTTCAATCATCAAGCATGTGCTTGCAGGTTCCCAAGTTGTCCAAAATATGTTCAACACCACAACTCAAAATTGCATTTAGAATAAAGTCTTGAAAATGACAAGTCTGTTAGTGAGGCTAAGCATATTGTAAATATGAGCACTGTTTTGTGTGCAATCAAAGGTATGGTACAGACAATGCACGTATCAGGAACCATGGTTATGTTGGCTACAACTATTTTATATATTAAGGATGAAGCAGGAAATTTTCAGCCCTGTAGAGCTTTATTAGTCTCTGGGTCACTAGTTAATTTTATTACTGATGCTTGTGTTCAACATCTCGGATTGTCAAAAATAAAATGTTATTTGCCAATAGTTGGTAATAACTCCATGAAGTTCAATGAACAAAGATTGCAACCAGTAGTTATGTACTCTTGTTTGAGCATTACAGTGTCACATTAGAACTGCATTTGCGTTCATCTATTTCTAATGACATACCATCTCAACCAATACATTTAAATCAATCTAAAATTCTAGAGTTTGTAAACGAACAATTAGCTGATCCAAGTAATGATACACCAGGAAAAATAGACATATTACTTGGGTGCAAAAACATTCTATACACTTTTTAATGGAGAAAAGGTTGAAATTTCAGAGTTTAATGTTCCATAATACTACACTCGGTTGGATTCTCAGTGGAAAGGTAATAAGTAATGACGTTAAACATTCTAAGTTGTCAACTTGCAATTGTACTCATGAAAAATTAATTAATTCAGTTATCATTATTTGTAAGTAAATCAAATTCCCTTACAATTGAAAAAAATAAAACTGAACAACATTTCATAAACACACATTCTAGAAATGATTCAGGGCGATTCGTCGTCAGACTTCCAATGAATATTCAACTTAACATTCTCGGTGAATCTAGTTACATGGCACAACAGTGATTCTATAATTTAGAAAAACGTTTATGCAAAGACAAGGGATTTATGCTTACCACAAAAGTTCATGTCGGAAATATCTAAAAATGAATTATGTGAAACTGATCAACAATGTTAAATCTGACATACATATTAATTACCTTACCATGCCATCACCAAGGAAAAGAGTATTAGCACTGAATTAAGAGTAATTTTTGATAGATCGGCTCCAACCAGCTGAGGTTTATTGGTTAACAATATCATAAAAAGATGACCTATAGTTCAGTCTTCCATATTTTAAATAGCATCAACTGCCGATGTTGAAAAGATGTATTGATAAATATTAGTAGCTTCAGAGGATTGTAAGTTACAAAAGATTTGTTATCGTTTAAGCCCTACAGAATCGTTAAAGGAATACAATCTTCGTACAATCATCTATGGAACAAAGTCAATTCCCTATTTGTCGACCTGTTGTCTGTTTGAATAAGTGTCTACAGCTCCCAGTGAACATGTTTAAAGAGTTAGGGACGATTTTTATGTTGATGATCTATTCACTGGTGCTGAGACCACAGAAGAATGTTTTTAGTTGTTCAAGGATATTTCAAATACTCTGAATAGTGGCTGTATGCCATTGAGAAAGTGGTGTACAGGTTTAACAGAAATCCTAAACAAGTTGTCAAGTATTGATAGTGATCCCAATCATGTATTACAAATTGGTGAAAACGATGCAGTTAATACATTAGGGATAATGTAGCAATCAACCACAAATTGTTTTTATTTCACATTAGTATAAATATGACAAAACGCACATTATTATTGGACATCAATAGATTTTATGATCTATTTGGATTCATTACACTGATCTTAATTTCTGGGAAAATATTTATCCAACAATTACAGACATTAAAAATTGAGTGGGACACTAAGATGTCTGAAGAAATGCAACAACATTGGGAAACCTTTTATTTGTCATTGAATGCATTTGATAAGTTGGTCATTCCTCGCCGAGCATTGTCTAACAGCTGATCATCAATTCAACCCTACGGTTTCTGTGATGCCTCACAAGAGGCAATAAGGTACATGTGTCTACACAGTGACTCAGAGTGAAAACAGTAAAATTCAAATGTCACTATATGTGTCAAAATTTCGAATAGCTCCGATTCATCCAGTTGCAATACCGCATCTAGAACTTTATGGTGCAGTATTATTTAGTGAATTTATCACAGAATTCATTTATGAGTTTGGAAAATTAAACATTAATGTAAAGAAAGGTGATGTACTTAAGTCAGATTGTATTGTTGTAATCGCCTGGATTAATAGTACTATTTGTATAATACAATTATATAATTAATAGTATAATTGTTTTTCTAACCGAGTTGCTCAAATTCTAGATAATACTAACTAGTCACAGTGGCATCATGTGCCTACAGAAAGTAACCTAGCTGATGTTATGACGTGTATACAAACAGTAAGCAATTTATTACAGTGTATATTATGGTGGAATGTATCTAATCTTTATCTGCAACTTTGTATAAGCTTTTTTTGACATGTATTGTTTCAAAGTACATCTACTTTTAAATGTTATCATTTATTCACCAATTTCAATAGCTTTGTTAGTATTAAAATACTTTTGAAAATTATATTTTAAAATTGTTAAATATGAATGAATTTTATAAAGTTTATTTTAATTTATTTCACATTTTTTAAACATCATATTTTTATCATTTAAATGTATAGTAGACAGAAACAATTGAACTATATATGATAATTGGAATACTTACCAGCCTTAAGACCAATGTAAATATAATCGAGATAGCATGTTAGAAAAAGACAGCAGATAAGAATGGTTTTGCTATTTTTTTCTATTATACATTACATAATATTATGATTGTTTACCAATATTTAATAATATTATAATTTTTTATTTAACTTTGAGGTCTTAACTCTTCAATAAAAAGACTCTTTACTAAAATGGTACATTTTTGTAGTAGTTTAAATTGTACCAGGTCAAGTGATATTAAAAAAGATTTGTCATTTCATAAGGTTGTATAAAGTTTATTAGTTTATATTATATATTTACTATTTGTAGACTTAAAATAAGCCCATGACTCTATCAAGAGAAGTAGTCTTTGGTGGGTGATAATTGAACTTAGAATACCAACAAAACTAATGAGATTAGAGAAGATGTATGTTCAAAATTTTAGATTTAAAGTAAAATTTAACTTAAAATGTCAGAAGATTTTTCAGTAAAAACTGGTCTGAAACAAGGAGATGCATTACCCCACACACTCTTCAATATTGCCCTAGAATCAGTAGTAAAGAAAGTGCAAGAAGACTCCATTGGTTTAAAAATTCTAAATAAAACTAGAATATTCTGAATCAAGGGAACATGAAACAAATTTTTAGCTTAGAGCAATGTATAGAATTAAAAGAAAAAAATACAAAAGTTATCAACATCCTAACTCTACTTATAAGCTATGCACTAATTAACTAACAAAAATAAATTTCTTTAGGTATTTCTGTAAATTAATTTTGATGATATAATTATACATTTTAAATCATTTATTATCTCATTAAAATACTATAATAATAAAATTTAATAAATTAATTAAAATAGTTGCACTAAATCAATTTTAAAAGTAAAAAGTTGTATGGCATCACATTTTTAGAAAAAAAAACTTTTAAAATAACGTACAAGTGTGCAACGCATTACAAGTCTTTGTAAATTAAAATTAAACAATTTTGAAATTAAAAACATAAATATTTTGTAATAAATAATTATTAGTTACAACACACATTTTAATATTTATAAATGATATATTATATTGAATTGTACATTAATAAGTAGTATTATTTCATCATTTTCATTAAAAAAAAAAAATTATAATAATAACATGAATCACATTTAATTAATAATAATCTTATCTGTATTATTCATAAGTAAAAAATACATAATATAAATACAATTATACTTGTTTCCATTTACAAAAATTCTTTAAGCTGAAACAAAAAAAAAAAAAAAAAATCAAACTTAATATTAATTAGAATACCTTGCTATGATCCCAATAATTGTAAATGTGTAGTTTGTTGTGATTATTACATATATGTAATATAATATTGTAATTATATGTATACATGAATACAACAACTATTAAACAAATTCAACAACATGACGCAGACCAGACATATTATTTGACTTATTCAATTATAATTACATGTACAATCAATTGTGTTAAAATTATTTATACGCTATCTTTCAACTTATAGCGCATTAGAGTCCGCAACAAATGTGTGTACTATTTTTTTTATTAAAAGTGATATTTATAACTAATTTTAATTAATTATTATTATTTAAAAATTAAGGTTAATTGTTTTATAATCATAGTTATTTAAAAATTGAAAGCCAGGTTTCTAATGTATTTACAATATAGGTCGTGGATATTTATATAGCTTTTGTATTATAGAATATTATATTCAAAAATTTGTTTGATATCATAGTTTTACCCAACATTATGTAACAAGTGTCAAGCTTACAAAATTGAACATATACCAAAATATGTATCATATTTTTTTTTTTAATATTTATTTTTACATAAAGAAATATTTTTTTATTTATTTGAATTAATTCAGAATATTAATTTAATGATTAAGTTCTTATTTTTTATGAATATAAATATTTTTTTATCATAGTAAATAATACAATGTTATGTAAACATTGAAATTTTGAATAAAAAAAATTCTTAATATTATAAAAATGAATGCAAGGTTTTATTTTTATTTTTTCATTCAGTATCAGATAAAAACTATATTAAAATATATAGCACATCAATTTGGCTGTAAATGATATTTTGTAATTATTTTAAACACTAATTAAATTAAATTAACTTACTGGATCATCATCATCAATAACAAACTCTGCTGCAATATCTTGTAATACTTCATGCTTCATAAACTGTTCAGATAAATCCTGTGAAATATCACTTATTTCTATCTCTTGGTCCGTAATAAGTCCTATTCCACCTTGAATACAAATTGATATTTTATTCCATGTGTACAGTTAAAAACATAAATTAAGTTATTTTATAAATTATATACATATGTTTAGTATTAATAATGTTAATTAAAAAAGAGAAATATAATAAATAAATACCATAGATTAAGTACCATTAATATAATTTACATGTTTAAAGGATATACAGTAGTTGTTTTTATAATGATACTGGTTGTAGTTAAACACTAGTTTAATGACTTAAAATTGGAAATCTTAGCAAAAATCATATGTTATATATTCAAAGACTTATCGGTGTTTATGCAATATCATAATAACCAAATGGGTGTAATGAGATTTATATTTACCACAATAAATGAATCATAGTATTAACAATTATGAATAGAATACATTTCAAGATAACAAAATTTTATAAAAAAAAAATTGTTAGACACAAAAATAATAAGTTGTTTTTAATGAGTAATAAACAATAATTAAATATGTATATGATGAAAATACACTAGTTTTTAGTAAAATACATTAAATCGTAATTATCAGTGCCATTTTTTTTTTTTTTTTTTTAAGGCGTTTACAGGCCATTCAGGCCCATTGCCGCAACAACCACTTGCCTCCACCTGTCTCGGTCTCTTGCCAGCTCTTCCCCATCCTCTATTCCAAGTTCCCTCAGGTCCTTGACCACTCTATCCTTCCATCTTTGTCTAGGACGTCCTCTAGGCCTTTTTGTATTTGGCTTCCATTTCGTAACCTGTCCAATTGGCCCCTCTGATCTCCACACGTGTCCGGCCCAGCTCAGCCTACTACTTTTTAAAATTCCGTTAATATTCGGTTCTCCGTATAGGTATTGGATCTCCTGATTTGTTCTTATTTTGTATTCTCCTTCGTTGTTTGTTTTTGGACCATAGATTCTCCTTAATATCTTCCGCTCGAAGGTGGCCAATTCTAGTTCATCCGATTTTGTAGTGGCCCACGTCCCACATGCATACAAAGCTATAGGTCTTACTAGTACTTTATAAAGGGTTATTTTTGTCTTCCATGATAATATCTTTGATTTAAATAGCGGGACCAATCCAAAATAACATCTGTTATATCATAAATATATTTATTTTTTTATATTTTTAAATTTGAATTACTTATATTATATACTTTTAACGATACACATATACTTATTTTCATTATATGAAACATTTAAATTTATGTTTATTGTATATTTTTAATCATAGTTTAATTATACGTACCCCCTTGGTTCCAATTTATGTGGATAATCTACACACTACTTTTTATGAATAGAATTAAAATGTTGTGATTAAAATTTAATTAAGTATTTACTGTTAGTAATAAGATTTTATTAAATTATAGTCATTTAATCAGGTATAGAATGTAACTTGTTTGATTTTTAATCAAGATGCTTATTCAGTAAATATTATCGTATTGTGTAATATAGAATATTGATAGGTATTTAAATCATTCATAGCATAAATAAATTCTGATCATTACAAACTTATTTTCATCAAAAAGTATTATTTTTTGGTAAACTCAGTTAAAAATCTTCATAAGATCACCACTAAAATAAAAACTAAAAGAAAAATTAAGAAATATTCAAAATAAGTCAGTAATTTTATTAGTATAGAGTCTATATTAATTGAATCTTATCATATATATTATAATATTTAATTTATCAAAAATTATAAAATACTTACTATCAACAAATTGTGACCACATTCCTTCTTTACCAGATAAAAAAACTGAGTCTTTTACAAGATACATCAAATTGTTATATGACTTAACATCATTATTATTTATATAAAATTCTCTTAAAACTTTCAAATTTGATGCTGGTTTCTCTAAGTCTTCCATACTTGTACTAGATTCTATTAGGTCTAGTGTTATGTGTTTCATATTTTCACAAACTGCAATAATAAATAAAAATTGATTTAAAAAAATGGTAAGATATTTTTATAGAATAATGTAAAAAATGCTACTTGATAGTATAAACTGTTTATACAAGACCACTTATTTAAAACATTATATTTTAATCTTCACAACTTTTTTGAATTGCATAATATGTAAACAAATAAAATATTATATTATTTATAATTAAAACAAAATATTAGAAATACCTGTTGCAGAATTTAATCCGTTTTCTAAAAGTGTATTAAAATCTTTGATTGGGCTGAATGCTGTAATTACACATTGTTTCAAAAGGTCTACTTCTTCGTCGCCATTAAATTCTAAAATATTATTATCCTCAACTGAACATCTATTAAACAAACATAATAAATATATTATTTTCAAAATTTGTTGATTCAATTTTCAAAATTAATATTAATAACATACTTTTCATAAATTTCTGGTTGAAGTGAAAATATGTTTATAATTTCATCTATAGGTTGTTTAGTCTTTTCTACAATTTCTTTAGGAGGATTTAGTAAAGTTTGGATATGCTCTGGAATTTTTTTTGTTAATTTGTTTTGATTAGTGGCTTTTTGAGCAATGCAATCATACACATATTGTAATCCAGGGTCATGTGTATTTTCTGGCATGAACAATTCATTTCTTAAACAATAGTAATCAATAAAACAAAATAATAAATTAATTATAGTTAAAAATATTTTAATTTACCCATCATTATCTAAGTCCATTGCATCTATAAGATTATTGACAGCATTATTTTCTTCATAATTGGGTTTAAATGATTTTAATGAAGGAAGTTTAAACAAATGCTCATCTTCAGCATATGGGAGATTAACACACACAAAATACTAAAACAATAATGTATGTTGTAATAATTACTAGAAAATAATAAATGTATACATAAATTATGGCATAAATATATATGTAGAATAGTAAGTGTAAGTTCAATCTAAATAAATAATTAATTTAATTATAATATAATTTCACATCAAATTATACACACGTTTTCAGTATCTTCTCTTTGAGGAAACATTACACCAATGTTTGGCAAACAATTATTTGAATAAATTTTTTTAATAATCATTAGCTCTTCTCTTTCAACCATAGCATTAAAAATGACTTTAAATGCAACAACATCTTCCTACATTGAATAATAAATATAATAGATTGATTATTGTTGTAAACAATACAGTTATACAAGTTACGTTAGTTAAGTAAAAATATTCTGCTTTGGAATATGAAATTAAAAATGTATAATGTCATTTAAAAAAGTAATAATTATTAAAAATATTACTTTATTACAGCTGGAAATTATTTAAAAAAAAATTTTGAAAACGTTTATAGATTTTGAAAAGATAAATGTTCATTGATAAAATTATCATTCTGTGTGTAACATAATATGAGTTAGTTATAATAATTTATTAAACATCAAAACTATGTTGACAAATGATGATTACTCATTCTTTTTTTTTTTTTTTAATTTAAAAGTATATCTTTAAAATATTTGTAATAGAGTTCTAATTTTAGTATATTTATTAATAGCAAGCTTTTTATTTATAATGCAAAGAAATTATATATTTTTTCTATATTTTAGTTTGAGTTGTATTAATTATTGACAGTTTTTTTAGAATCAGGAAAAATTAAATTACAATTTTTATAATTACAATTTTCTACTCATAATTTAGATAATATATATTTATGATATGTAGTTTTCAAATAGTTTTTTGATGACTATCTGTTTTTTTTTTTTGTTTTTTTTTTTTTTAATTAAAAAAAACTCAATAAAGTAGGAAAAGTAAATAATAAACAATATACTAATTTACTTTGTGAGGTTTAAAAATATATGATCCTCCGTCCATTAAAAATGATCTTTGTATATTTTTAGCTTTTGTAAACCCTAATACTTGCAAGCATCTTGGACCAGATTTATAACTATATACATCTGTATCTAAATCTATAAAAAATATAAATATATATTATACATGCATATAAACTAATTTAGTTAAATTTGAATAGTTTTCATGATGCACTTACTGGAGACTGGTATAATTGTATCACCAAAGCGAAATCCATCTATTATATCTTCACGATCAACTTCTACTTGTTCACCATTTTCAACATAAAAGTATGCAGTGTGTTTCTTCATTGCTGTAATTGAATCTTCTGTATCATAGTTCTTACATAATAACCACTTAAAACTTTTAGCGGTCTCATCTATCTATTATTGATATTTAAATATTTGAATAATTATTGCTAAGTTTATTATCTAAATATTAATCAACAAAATTATTTTATACACACAAATTAAGTTATTACCTTTTTATAACCGGAAACTCTAATATTAAAAACATTTCCAAAGCTCAAAGGGATATTCCAAGCTCTTGGAGTTACTTCTTTTTGTTTATAATGACTTAATTTATGTAGAACTGAATAAAAATTAACAGCAGTTGCCTAAGAATAACACAATTACAAAATTAATGGTCAAGATTATTTTTTTAAAAAAGATTTTTTAGTCTTATACATTAAATATATCATAAATTATAACCATGAATTCTATGATTAATAAATAAGGCAATAATTTATATAAGTATATGTTACTAGTAGTGTTGATTTCTATGCAATCGCATATTGTTTTCCTTTTCATTTTTTAGGATTTTTGTCAGTTATCTTCACAAACAATAATAATTTAAATGTAAAAGTGATTTTTTTTTTTATATATATTTTTGCATATTTAATAGTGATTGTATATTTTTACAAAATTTAAAATATATTGCATATTAAAGCAAAATTTACACGTAAGTATTTAAGAAATTAATTATAATAAGTTGTTTAATATGTAAATTTTAAATAAATAAAAACATTTTCTTGCATATCTTTCTTATTTTCACAATTTTTACTGCATATTAATGGCATATTTCGATACTTTTTAATGCATAAAAATCCGTGCTTTAGTTATTAGTAATGACAATAATTAGGTACCATCAAGAAAATCCAAATGTAAAAAATGAAAATTAGGATTAATTAAGCTATTGATTTCTAAAACAAAAATATAAATTTAATTTAAGTAATTTGTTATCATTTAAATTTATTTTCACATGAGACAACTACCTTGGAATTATGAGTATACTTTTAAAATATATAATTAGATATTATTTAAAATTTAAATCCACTGCTTCACAAAGAGTTATTTTTATATGTTTGGTCTTTTTAAAATGGATTAAATTTTTTAAATTGAAATAAAGTTATATGAACACATAACACAAGAAAGTTGTTAAGAAAAATAATGACTGTAAACAGTGTAAACATGTATATGTTACGGTAAATGATGTTATATCGGAAATTAACATTATTTTCCGGTTATTAACATTATTTACCTACGAATGTGGGAATTATTGTTATTTTCTAGTTAATAACATTAATAACTGTATGATTTGGGAAATTTTGATCTGATTATAAAATAAAAGAGGTCATTGCAGAAGATTTAAAAAAATAACCAAAGAACCAATCACCAAAGAAGACAAAATTCGAAATTAAATCATAGAAATCGCAGAAAAAAATTTGGAACTTGGTACTTAAATATTTTTTAATTATTTAACGATAAATTTCTAAATTTTAAATACAACACAAATAAAACTAAAATATAAATATTTAAAAATTATTTTAAATACTTTTTTGATGATTTTCAAGAAAATATTTGTATTGCATGTAAAAATTCAAAAAAAAAAAATTAGAAAAACAAGGAGAGGAAATAATGAAACTTTCTAAAGAAAAGTTTCCTCAGTTTGAAATAAGCATACTGTATGTGTATTTATACCGAACGTTGATAGAGCTTGTGATTCTATGTGAAATATACTAGCAGTTGTCACCAAGTTGAATATGACTTACACAAACTCTACAAGTTAATTCTTAATGAAAAAATATATTATTAAAATTAAAATTTGTTTTATTATTTTATAAGTACAGAATATAGTTTTCTTAAACACTATTTTACATGCCAAGAAATAGCTGTTTGCAAATAAAATTTATTAGACATGGACAATGTGATAAAATTAGTAGATGGCAGACAGTTGACACTGCGGAAAGTAGCTAGTAATAATTCGGTTGCGGGCCCTCAAAGGTACTAGCATTGTCATTGCAAGACTAGTTGTAATAATAATAAGCATTGTGCCTACCTTGAGGCTGAAAAATTATGTTATATTAAATGTCATGGAAGTAAAACTTGTAAAAATAAATAAAAATTAATAATGCATTTTTCTATTTTTTAAAATACCTGGGTACCTACATAAATTTTCAAATTGTAGTATTTGAGATTCATGCGCATATCTGATTTATAACATCAATTACCTGTGTATTTGGTCATTAACACGATTATCCGGTTTATAACAATAATTACCTGTGTATTTGGTAAATAAAGTTAATAACTGGTGAATAACGTTAATTTCCATTTAACATCATTTACTGTAACATATACACACAATGTAGACCAGTCAACCCTAAACTTCATTACATTGTAGTTCTGCCAAGAATATTATAATTGTAAAACAATAGTAAAATCCATTGAAAAAACTGTTATATTTTAACATTGTCAACAATACTTTAGACAATTTACATAATTCTTAATAAACTAGGATAATATTATAAAGAATAATATTTTCAGTCACTAATAAAGAAATAACTCATAGTATTTAAAATATTTCATAGGAAGTCAGTCTGAATCGTAATGATATCATGTGTGTGTGTGTGTGTATATTTATGTGTGCACTACATATAATATTATTGTATTACCTCAGTTTTCATGATAAATTTTTCTAACTCAGGATTAAGTGATATATCTTCAAAGTCTTTACCTCTGAAATCAAAACATTTCTTTTAAACTATAAATGATAACTCATTATGTAAACAGTATTCATTACACATTATATCATTGATTTTTATTTTATGAAATATAAGAAAAAAATATATTATTATTTGAATACATAAACGTGTATAAATAAGGAATCTACCAATCTCAATAACATTATCAAGAATAATATTCATGAATATGTTTCAATATTTTCAAAAGTTTATTTTTTTTTAGAAAATAATAATGCCTGTAAATGCAAAATGTTTTATATTCTTAAAAAATATTGTGACAACTGACAATGTATTTTTTTTGAATATTTCAAAATTAACTTAAGAGGAGCATTGAATTAAATTTTCAAAATTTTTTACTCATAATAAAAATTGTATCATACAATAAAAAAAATGAAATTGAAAAAACTTTTATGTTCATTGAAAATAAAAATATTAACATTAATTAAAAATTTCAAATCTTCAGTTATCATTGAATTACAAAAAAAAAAAATAAAATAAATATCAAAAAAATGGATTTGATTAAATAATTACATGTTTTTCAGGAAATTCAAACTAGATTCAATTTTTTACCAAAACTAGCCTTAACAGTAAATATCAATGCATTGTAAGTACTGCAATAGGTGATGGCAAAAAATTAAACCCATTTATACACATTGCTTTTATTTCTATTTAAAAGAATATTTAAATAAAAAAATGGTATTTAAAATTAAAATAATGAATAAATAGTTGTATAATTTAAACATAAAATAACTAGATTTCAATTTAAAATGTGTAATTTTTTTAGAACCATATTTTTAAAATTTAAATGAACTTACATTATGGTTAAATTAATATGTTGCGTTTTTATACAGCTTGCAATTATATCTATTTTATTAAAAGAAATATCTGTATCAAGATTTGAAAACATAACAATCTGGAGATCTTTAAATATTTTCTCTCTGTAAAATAAAAAATTATCATGCTTAAATATGAGTGACAATATGGGTATTGAAATAAAGAGTAAATAAATATTAAATACAAAGATATAATAAACCAAAACTATAACTTTTATAGCTAAAAAAAAAATTAACATTGTAGAATTTGTTATGGTTAAAATTTTTATTTATTATTAAATGCATTCAATAAAATAATTTGAATTAACCTTGCAATTTATTAATGAAAATTATGTTTTAAATTAATTTGAAACAAAAATCCAAGTTGATTTTGAAACAGAAATTAACTCCACACTGAATTATTATGTAAACTCGGTAAATCTAAAAAGAGTATTTTTGATTTGATTGTTGAGATAAAATATAAATGTTAACATTCTTTAAGTTATTTATTCTAAAACTTAGTGAATACCCTAAATCGGAGACAGGACTTGAGAAAAACCATACTTAGAAAAGTCTAGTAATTAGAAGTTAAGTCTCGTGATAAAATCGGTGATAACGACGTTTGCTACGTTGGTGGTTCCATACTCAAATGGTGTTTTTTTGAACGTGTAAATAACAATCTATGAAAGCCAAATTTGAGTGTCTAGTAGTTGGTCATCACCGGAATAATACATTGGGTAACAACACTTGTGTGTGGAAAATAAATAAGTACATTCCAAAAATGGCAATCAAGTGTTTAGCTATCAGTCATTACCTGATGTATGTCAACGCCTGGTAGAACAATCCACCTGTGGCGAATTGGATGTATTTCCCATAACTAATCTGGTGCTTTTATGCAACTAAAAATTTATAATATATTATATTTTGCATATTTTATAAATTTTTAGGAGATAAGTGCATAATAAATTTTGTTGATGGACAATGAAAAAAAAATGAAAAAATTTTATTTTCATACACATGCTATGCAAATTTATTATTTTCTAATTTTATTTTTCTTTCTTAACAAACATATTTTAAGTAATATTGAATATAAAACTCAATACCATTTAATGTAGGTAATTGTTGTCATAGTTGCAAATAAAAATTAATTTCAAGAAAATAGTAAAATATATATTGTATCTCTATTGCACTATTTTGCGAAACACTAACTTTATTTATTATTTATTTGCTAGTAAAATTGTTGTAAATAACTGACATTTTGCAATATTTTATTTTGCGATATTTTTTCAGTTAAATAAAAAAAGAAAATGACAACCAGTTGTCCATCATAATTTAAATATTACTTTTAAAATTTTTTTTCCTATATTTTATATTTTCTGTTCATAATTTGCCTTTATTAGCTTCTATAAATTCCAAATGCTATAAATAATGATAAAACTACAATTTTTAATGATTTTAAAAACTGAAAAATACTTTTAAAAACTTTAATACTGTCTGATCTGAGTTGAAGAAATTATATTTATCATCAAATATTTGTAGTAAAATAGAAAAAATAAATTAAAAATGTGGAAATTCACTTTTAAAAATAGATATAGATAACATTAACCAGGTAGTGATATGTAGTGAATCCAATAGACTAGACATTTGTTTCTATGCATTAGTTTATGTGCAAATCGGGACCAGCCTGTTTGAGTCCAATAGAGGATTACTGTAATACATACTCAGTTTCCTTTTTCAACATATCTGCAGCAAGAACAAGAGCATTAAGCCAATCTGAAGGTGTTATATCTTCTGAAGATAAACTGTCAATATGTTTAACTAAATCCCAAGTCACTATACCTAAGTTAGTAACAATTTCTATATTATAACATCCTTGGGATGAAAGATGGTTATTTGTACGAGATGATCCAAATAATATTAATGCTAAATAATCTTTACTTTCAGCAAATATCTAAAACATAATAAATAATATTAACATTAAAATAAATATATTATAATAAAAAATAATAATAATAATATAGGATATAAATTACTTTTCTCTTTAAAATCATAGAAGCACAAAATTTAGCTTTTTCAAAATATGTTTTTCCATCTGAATCTAGTTGTAAGGAACTTTTTCCTATATCAATTGCAAGTACTATTGCTTCCTAGGACATAAAATATTATGACAATAAATAAATAATAACAATAAGATATACAAAAACACATGTAGATAATTAATGCTATATATAATTTAAATTAAACATAGGAACTAACGTTTTTATATTTATGTTATATAAGAAATGTTTAAACTTATTTTATCCTGTCTGAAGTCAAACATTTAAATCTTACTTTCTTCTCATTCCTACAAGCTTTCTTCGAATAAATTCCTTCTCACTACTCGATATATTCCACAATATATACACATTTTACACTATCAAATATGTAATACCCATATTCTTCTAACAATCAATCAACATTTGTCACATTAAAATTCAATGAATTTTTATTCAATTTTCAACAAAAATATACTATTTTTTCAATTTTTTTTTTTTTTTGCATAAAGTGCTTATCTTCAGGAGTAGGCCTGAAGGCCTAGTTAGGACGTCTATTTGGCTGAACTTTTAGTCGGGCACCAATAGGTTTTGTTTGAATATTATAATTAAAGGTATTATACAATATTTTAATAAAAACTATACGTATTTTACTAATTTAAAGGTAAAAAAATTATCTGTGATCTCGCGTCTTATTTTTTTATGATACTTACATTTTTAAGTATACTATGAACCTTTTTAAATATTAATATTTTACTGGCTCATAACTCACTTAAAAATTAAAATATCATAAAAAAATCCAAATGGAAAAACACATAATGTTCCTATCTTCAAATTTGATAATAGGTTATTTCACTCTAATATTTAATCTAAAACTTCAAAATTAGAACTTCTGAAAATATATTTTGATATAGTAAGCATTAAAAAAACGAAGAGAATATAATCGGATATAATAACCTCTTAAGACAAATATTAAAAACAATCTAAATAATTATCTAGTTTAAATATATTGACAAAGTAATTATAATAATGCTATGTTTACCACTATACTTTGGCCTACTAAATAATATTACTGACTAACCAAAAAACACATACAATTCAGTGCATTCTTTCCTCATCAACAAATCAATAATGGTACACTAACAGTCAATAACTTTTATCGCTATACCATATATATATATATATATGTTAAACATAGTAAGAGAAATAATGCTCTGAACCAGTTACTACTGTCAATTAGCAAAAACACAACAATAATGTTCTCTCTAGGTAGAGATACTTTAAAGTGCTTTATATTTTATTTTATACCTAATACAGTTTTCTTTATATAGTAGAGCATTGATAACTCTGATCCCCGATAATTCTAGACACCATATAAAATCCATTTATACGTAGGCAGTTTCTAATTAATCAATGAAACAAATAGTAACAATTCCATCTTTTTCATTACTTACTGTCCCTTAAATGATTAACAATAATAAATTGATAGTCAAATGTTTGCTTCTTTTTTTTTACAAGTGATCTTATTAGACAATTATAGTTTGTTACAAGTACATACAGATACAATGGTTCCTCGTAGACATGTTACTTTGGACTTAAAAAAAAAAAGTTTAAATAATTAAATTAATAGAAAATGGTCATAATTATGCTGCAATTACTGATAAGTACAGAATAAGTAAATCTACTGTTGGTGAAAAAAAGAAAAACGAAGACAAAATCATGAAGTTAATTCAAATCCTTTGATAAAATCGTTAATTTGAATGAGGCTCAGTCTAAATTCATCTGGACTATCAAGACTCCACTTATATGGCTTGTAACCATATAAGTCAACATGTTAAGTAATCAAAATCATTGCAGCAGAGTCCTAAAGTCAATTTTTTAGTATATCATTATAGGCCTTTTAAATTAAGTAATTTATTATAAGGTAATAATTTTAATAAATATGAATACAAACCTGTTTATTGACGGCCGCCATTAGAAAAATACAGTATGTAGAGAATTGTAATACGCTAAATATTACTTATAAATATTTATTTGTAGACAAGTTAAGTAAAGCATATACCTCTACATCAATGACCAATATACTTCAGTATTTTGGCTATATGTATTATATAATAGGGAGCATATGTACAACGTAGCGACCGAGTCAGCAATATGGATGTGCAACCATAGAAAATTTGAAACGATAAATTGATTTACTGTATAAAAATATAAAAACCTTACCACTATGATAAAGACAACAAAAACGTTAAATAGGCGCCTAAAAATCAACATTTTATTTATCAGAAGAAATACATTATCACGACGAGATCACTGAGTGATAAGCACTTGTCCGAAAAATGATAATTCAGAAAAGCAGTACCGAGGTATAGACCATAGAATAGAGATTAAATAGAAAGGCGACTCCTGTAGAACGATTTGATATGATCATTGATACTATCGCTCCGCGTGGCTTTCTTACGAACTAAAACATAAACTATCGATAGTTGATAGAAATCGATATATTTGTGTATCGATATTATTATTATTTATCGATTATTGAATGTACTGTTTTTAATTTTATATTTCCCATTTACCATTCACTTTTTTCAAGTTTTTTCATTAAAAAAAAAAATAAATATGTTGATAGGGTAAAATTATATTTATTGAAATACTTTCAAACATATGTACCTAACTTTATGTTTCCAGTTCTTTCAACCCATTTATCACACATTTCATTGTTCTTCAGGAAGGGATGTCTGAGAACACTTTTGCTATCGTGCAAAGTGTCACATCCCATGACCATACACCGATGAGAAGGTATGTTTGAAATCGAACCAACGCGTTTATAAGATTGTAGACGACTGTCACAGAGAGCGTAGGTGATGAATACCAATTTTCTGTGGGAGTACCACACAGCAACAATCAAACCTACGCAATCTGACTTGGAGGGTCGTAGAAGGTTTCGGGAAAAATAAAATAGAGTAAAGAAAGATGATGTAATAAACGCGACACGGATGGTAATCGAAAAAAAATAGTGTCACGCGGTTTAGGGTTTAGTTTGACAGCCGACGGTATCGAGACAGTGCTTAACGGTAAAACGGATCGTTTAAAGGAGTTGTTTTGAAATCAACTTGTTATGAACGAGCATAAAAACATTAAAAATAGAAATGAACGTGGCGCTCGTGGGCATCGTGGCCCGTAGCGTCATTAGCACCATTAGCTGGTCTTGAGTAAAATGAGGGGTGCGCAGTGTTTCCCTATGACTGGAATATTTGGAAATTTTGTTAGGATGATACGTTGCGAGTTTTACGTTATGATAGTTCTGTCCTATAGAGTTACAACCCTCTGGTATAGACACTGTCTGTCGTCTGATATTAACCAAATCGGGCAACATTGCCCTTGAACACAGTCTCCAGGGGGCGCGGCATACATTATCACTTAAATAAAAAATATCAATATTATCACTGAACAATATATTGTTTAAAATTAGTTGAAACTGTTGAAAAAACAGTAAATAATATTAAAAAAATGAAACTATTGCAATTTCAAATTTGCTCGTTTCTAGCAATGTTTGTTTACATAAGACCCGCGAAAATCACGCGGGCAATGAATTGTTCCCGTTTTTATAATATCGTAATAAATAGGGATACATATTACCAACGTCTAGTCAGATTACGGATACGGTTTTAACTTTTGAAATCCAATACTTCATACCGTAGGGATACAGTAGATCACCCAGCTGATTAAGTGTCTTTTTATATTGTTTTGTGGTAGAATCAACTGAATGTATCAAAATTACCGTATTAATTATACATTCAATTATATAATTTATATTGATAAAATAATTATAATATTGTGATATAAAAGTTATGTAACTATATGTTACGAATTTTTAAAGCAGAAAAGATCTATTAGTATCTAATGTTTCTAATTGTGTGGAAAACTCAGAACCAAGATTTAAGTCCAATACAAATATACAAGGTTTTGGTTGTCATAAAAAAATTATTTTACCCCCCTCCCCCACCCACGAGGTATTTTTCACAGTTACGTGCCGGCAAAGCGCACACATAGGTTTACTATAATACTTACAAAATTAATACAACAACCTGAGCTGTCACGGGACGCCTGGCAGATGTGAAACATCAACATTATTTTGTAATAGTAATATGCAGAAAATAACAGATTGCATAGGAACTAAATATGTCATAATAATAAAATAAAATATAACGATTTTTTTTTTCAGATAATGATGAATGTTTATTTAATAAACATTTATTTTCATTAAATACAAACATTTACGAATTTATTTCAAATCGTGACTACTTAATTCGTTTAATCAGTGATTTCGGTAATAGTGACATTCGATGTTGCTTCTGACGACGATAATACTGTGGCAATTGGTCGATGGTAACTGAAGTATGTTACAAAAGTATTGGACATAACATTATCAAGATATCTAATAAATACAGCATCTATTGTTGTTCCGTATCTGGTGGTAGGTTCTCTTGGATTGAGAAATAAATGATATGATAAATAATAACAATAATAAAAACTAACTAATTATAATAATAATTAATATTGTGCTGTTTTTTTATTATGATATAATTGGATTGAGATGGCTTAACGCCGGATCGAGTGGGAGAGAATCGCACAGTCGATTGCGCATGGTGACGCGTCGCCACACCGTACACACTACAGCATATAGACTGTATATATATAGTATATTATATACCATCATATAGCGTGGCGACGCGTCGTCGGGCGTTATATAGCTTTGATCTGTACCTACTTAGTATTGATTGTGACACATCCACTATTGGTAATTATTTTGCAGATATGTGATGAAACTAGGGCACTTTCATGGAGACAGCCAGAATAACCAAAAAAAGCTCCTACCAATTAAACACAATTTTAATACATATTATGATATAAACATACATAAAAAGGTTCAATATTAAATTTAGAAATACATTATCTTGTTTGTTTAACATTTCTCATTCCACAAATAAGATTTTTTGGTAATTTTATTTGTTGAGTTTTGTAAAAAAAATGTGTCAGTGCTTTATAAAAAAATAAATATATAAATTGAATAATTATTTGTTAATTTAATTAGAAATTGATTATACCAAACTTATAAACAATATTTTGTGTATAATATATATTTTTATGAGGAACCTTACATTTTAAGTTTATATACAACAAATTCATTGAGAACTAGGAGCACTTTTTCAATTTATATTTTTTTTTTTTAATATAAGGAGAACTTAATAATAATAATAATAATAATAATAATAAACGAACACTTTGTTTGGTAATTAAATAATAAATTATATTGTTTAATACACTAGATATATACAAACCACAAATACATTTACATACATAAAATATTGTTAGAAAAAAAAAAATTGTACAAAAAATAAATAAAAAGGAGATAAGATTTTTATATAATAATTGAAATGAATGAACATTTAGTAAGACCATGATAGGTTATTATATAATACGTTGGCTATTTACAAATAAAAAATATTATGAGTCGTCACACTTTACAATTTTATCAGTGATGAACAAATCAGACGCTAAATCTAAATACTCTGCTCTTTTAATTAATTCTGCATTAACCTGGATATCCCGATGTGTATAAAAAGAATATCTAAAGACAGTTACGTCGTATTTAAATATAGTACAACTAACTATATATTTATCATCAAAAATTGAAACATTTAAAATAACATTTTCTGAAGGAATAAATATATATTTTAAAGGTACATTCAACTCCTTAAAAAGTAAACGAAATTGACCTAAAATATAAAACATGTACAATTGTTCCTCTAACTGTACATCCAAGTTATATATATTAAATTTTTTTTTAACATCATTAAACTTTTGGCGTACATTAATTTCAATAAATTTTTCAAACACCGAAACAAAAAGGATTAACATCTACATTTAAATTAATGTAAGGTGTATCCACTAAGATATGAGTATATTTATAATCATCAATTTTTTGGTCATCTTTATCACGATTTATATAATCCTGATAATATTGTTGTACTTCGTTCAGTTACGTATTGCTCGTAATATATTTTCTTAAAAGTAAATGAAAGTGAAATAAAGAAAATTAATAAATTATGTTTACAAATCGAAATTATTTATTGTACATTGTTTATAATCTGTACGAATTGTATTCTGAATTATAATAATTATGTGCAGAACTGAACAATTATTATCTCTCGGTTCGCGTCGATATTACTTCATCAACCAGAACTGTCTTCACATCGTAAGACAATCAGCGACCATTTATCATCTCGCAGAAGTAATAAATATAATATATAAGTGATTCAATATATATTTTTATTATTGTTAAAAAATGTATACATCTGTGGTCAGCCTATTTATGAAAACGACTCATTTTATAATAAAATTAAAAATATAATATTCAACAATGAAAATATTACGAAATGCAATTTAAAAGAATTGTCAAACAATGTAAGAACGTATAAAGAATTGTGTGTAGGAATTACCATTTAAAGAGTTCTCCATGATGCATTTTATTTGGTGTTTAAAGTTTTATTTCTAAAACGCTCACTGTTATAATACTAAAACAAATGCAAAATATTGGATCGAAAATAATCTAGAGAGACATGAAATTACTTTGAACATCAATACTTCGAAAAATCGACGCCACTCATGATCATTTTAAAACGTTGATCTTAAAGACTGTTCTTTGATCACTAAATCTAAATGATTACGCTCTTTCGGAGGCATAATGTGATTTGAAGTCTTTTACATGGCTCTCAATCGAATATAAATCTTGTCACCCAGATCGATTTGAATTGAGTTCCAACGTTTAAACTTAAACTAATAATGTTTTAAAACATATCA